TAACCTTCAATATGCTAATGACTGTCATGTGCCCACTCCACTGAAGAGGTCCAGGTTATTCTTGACTGCTTCTGTGAAGTGTACAAAATGCTTGGACTCACTGTCAACTTAAAAAAAAATCCAAGAGATTGTACTAACTTACCCTAAACCAACTAGCTGCTCCTCCATATATTAAAATGTGGCAGTCTGTGGAAAATGCCAACCATTTCCCCTTCTTGGGCTGCCACCTTTCTCAAAAAGTAAACAGAGCCAAGGATATTCAAGACTGGATAAAATCTGCCAGTGCTTCCAAGTCATGTCTTCGAGGATCATGACATCAGGAACCAAACAAAAGTTGTTGTATACCAGATTGTTTTCATTCCTATCTTCTTGTTTGAGTGTGAAACTTGATGACATATCAGAAACTCCTGAAAGCCTTGGAATATGACCATCAGTGGTGTCTTCAGAAAATACCCCATATCAGTTGGAAGGACAGAAGAACAAAGGCCAGCATACTGGCCAAACAAATATCACCAGCATCAAAGGGCATTTCTAGATGACATGACATTTCCCATTTACGGTAATGCAACTGCGTTTGTGTTTGCACGATTAGAATTTCCTGCTGCTCTAAAAGTTTTTTTGGTGTGTTAAACTAACACTACTTGGATATGTTTTATTTTGCAGTACTCCCTGTTTACATCACCATGTCTATAGATTCATGTCGTTCAAACAATAATTGACTCAAAGATTTGTAATTACTTTCCTTGGCCATCAGGTGGGGCTGTGTTATTTCTGTAGTTTTGGCCTTTAGCCAGTAAGTGCCACTGTGATTTTATTTTCTGTGTGTGGTTTTTTTTTACCCTCGCTTCCTCCTACTCCACAGCTGACTGTAGGCATCCAGGGCCCGGTGCGGCATGTGGTCTCCAGATATAATAAGAGAAATGGAGGAGCCAACCATTCCCATTTATGTGCATATGATATGCTACCTCATTAATTTTTCCCCTTCCTCTGCTGCCACTGTCACCTGTTGTGTATGTGATACCCACCACTGCCCACGCCCCCTGCCCGATGCGCCCACCGCTGTGTTCAGAATTGCAGGTCACTGGTGTCACCAGAATGCTAAGTTTACACCAGAATGCTAAGTTATAAAAATCTGGAGTGTGCTACCCTACCTACCTCCTAAGGACTTCCTTCAAATTTGTTATAATATAATTTACATTCACATTCCAGAACCATGGCAAATAGTCCAGGCGGATGCTACCTGCTAGATCTGCCATCCCAGATACAGGGTATGCATCATCCCGGGTGATATGTAGGTAATGTCCTACCGACCTTGTGTATGGTGGGTTTGGGGGGCAATAATTTGGGGGGCAAGAGGTTGGTTTTTGGACTGTTGTCCAAAATCCTGCCCTCTTCTTCTTTCTTCCTCCTTCCTGCAGAAAAGTTTCACAGAAGACCACTAAAAAGAATGCAGAAGACCACTAAAAAGGAGCATTTTGGTTGTCTGTTATGTAGAAAGTGTAATAGTTAAGTTAGTTAGTTAAGTAGTGTGTCTTCAATTATGTATAGGTGTGGGGGGCGGGGGAATCCTGACTTTTTTTAATACTATATTTATATTTTACTATTTATTTTAAATTGTTTTTATTTTATTTATTTAGATAATTTTTTACTTATGCACCGCCTTTTTTTTAATAAAGTTTTTTCATTTTTGTAATAAAGTTTTGTAATTTGTTGTCTATATATGCGTGGCATGTTTTCTTTCTTCATAGGGAGATTGGCATACACTGTGCAGTTCTGGAGTGGGTGGGGTGGGTTGGAGAGGTGAGGCCTGTGCCCACAAAAAAGCATGGATATAGAGCCTGGCTACTTAACATTTGAAAGAAGGCAATTTAGTAAGCATCTGGTGTATTATGAGGCAAATTTTTGCTCGTAGTTTCATGAGGAGTCAGTTACAGGAATCATTGCCTTTCAGCAATCCATTATGTATTTACCTTTTTCATTTTCTTTTAAATAGCAAAACCATGAGTGAATTACATTTGTATTCACTGAGAAAACACACAAACCCACCCACCCAAGCCCAAGCCCAAGCCCAAGCCCAAGCCCAAGCAAGAAAACCTACCCACCCAAGCATGCTGTTGGTAGGTAGTCAATAATTTGACTACCTACCAACAATAATTGTAGTCAATAATTGTACCAACAATAATTATAGTCAATAATTTTCCCCAAGCCCAGGGTGCAACAGGGAGGGAAAATTTCCCCAGTCAAAAGCAGTGTGATAAGGCCACAACCAGGGGGAAAGAGGGACTGGGTAGGGGATAAAGTACAAATCAAAGCAATTTTTCAAGTACAACTGAAAGTACACATCAAAGCGTTACTTTCTGTGGCCATGATTGCCATATGCACCTGGAGGCTGAGGGGGCACGGTGACCACCCGCAGGCAGTGTTGGCAGTGGGGGCATGGCGGTGGTGAGCGGAAAGCTCCTGCAGGCAGCCGTGGCAGTGTTGATGGCGGGGGGTGGGGAGTGCCAACCAGCAGTCGGTGACCACACACAGACATCACTGGTAGTGCTGGTGGTGGCCAGCAGTGATTGAAGACTGCCCGCAGATGCCACCGGCACTGTCAGTAGTGAGGGGTGGGGTGGGGTGGCAAGCGACGACCACCTGCAGGTGCTGTTGGCAGCCACAGCAGCAGCCAATCACAGGGGGTGCACCGCCAATCTCAGGGGGTGCATGTGTACCTGCATGCACCCCCTATGCATTGCCAATGTCTGTGGCTGTAACAAGGAAAGAGGGACCATTTCTCTCTCTTTTTATACCTCAAAAAGCTATTATATTTTTGCAAGTGTGCGTGTGTGTGTGTGTGTGTGTGTGTGTGTGTGTGTGTGTGT